GATTTTAATCTTTCTTTAAATAAGATGTATTTTACTCTTTTACTAAGTTGCTATCATTTTCTTTATATATATATACACACATAAACACACACATTCATCTACTCCTATGGCAAAAAAACTTGTTTCCCCCTACCATTGTGACCCTTTTCCTTCTCGGATAAAGACCCGACGACTACAACGTGAAACAATCAACTTGGTTTCCTATAGATAAAGGCTTTTAATGTTGTTGTCTCCAATCAATATACTCCTAGGTTGAGTTTTTTGCAATTCTTGTGGTGGTATCGTGGAGAGATGACTAGGTGAATCATTTTGGTTGGGTTTTAGATGTGGTTGTGATAGCCGAAAATCGTATAAGTCCACGAAGAGGCCACTGTGTTGCCTCTGTGGTGGTGCAAGTGCACACCGGACATTATGATCGTTATAAGTAATAAACTTGTAATGCCCACAAAGTCACCACTATCATAGATTTTAGACTTGCCTATTTAACTAAGTTGATTTTATAGAATCAATTTTCTTTTAGTATGAAGAATATTACTTAAATCTCTTTGTAGTCCAAATCTCGACCTATACATGAACCTTGGCAAAAATCATAGAAAACTTGTATTTGTGTGTGTTTATTTAGAACTTTCTTAGATCCTTATGCATCACTCAAGCTATATTTTGAATCCTTCCATGTCTAGATATAAGATCTAATTTTAACACTTCCAAGTGATCGACTTTTTCGTGTTGAGTTAAGACTTTGACTCAAGTGGCCAAGCCTAAGAAATTATCAACAATGGCAACCCCGAGTGTTACCAACTAGTCTTAGGTTTGGCTTACATTCACACACACAAAAGAGGTATTTAACTCATAATGGAAGTAAAGAATATGGTAGAAGAAGAGAAAAGTTTTAAGAAGTGCTTGCATTAAAATGTAAAGTTAGAGAGCAAGAACCATAAATACGATCATTTGCCACAATATCATACCCCCATGTCATTTCAGTATGTTGAGCATCATTTTCAACCATCCTTTCACAGTTTTAACTCACCGAGTTTTTTAGTGGCAGATTCACCATATCCTAACGTTTTATTATTGAAACAAAAGCCGCACATAACCATTGTACTTATGAATGTATATGAACATGAATATGGCACTTACATCATATAAAAAGACCGAAATTGATAATGTCAAATTTGCAATATACTCTGTGATCTAATCCCCCTACATAATACCTACTTTTGTGGTAAAAGAACCAACTCTTCGTGTTTCTATCATTCCTTGATAGGTTATTAAAATAGAGAAAACGAGAAAAATGACTTGCACGCTTAAAAGGGTAGTACATAACAAACGACCGTACTAGAGAAGAACATAGACGTATGCGATCGGACCATGCTACCCTTTCATGCTTGGGTCACGTACGAGGGGCATATAGAAGAAATGAGGCTAAAAATGGTACACAAGGCTCACATATAGGGTCTAAACTTAAGGTACAATAAATGGTACCCTTGCATGCGACCCTGTTATGCCAGAAACCCATAAGACACCTGTAGGACCAATTTTGCCAATCGTCGAATCTTGGACAATTTTTCCATTTTCTAGGTATAACTTGAGTTTGAAACTGCCATTGTTAGAGGAGGAGACCATATGATGGCTTTGGAAGCAACAAGGGAGCGAAGGAAGGAGAAGCATTGTAACACCCCACATCTCACATTGCATATAATATATAATTCATTCAGAGAAATACATGTTTTATCCCACTAAGGTCCACAGTACAAGAAACTGAGATACAAAATACATACTCAAAAATTCCTAAATACATGTTCTTGTACTACACAGCATTCAATCTTCAAAACACATCTATAGGTTGGTCTCCACATAGCTATGCATATAGGAAAACAAGTTAAATTTTCCCTTTCCCTTTACATATTTGAAAGACAAATGGAGACAATGTTAGCATCTCAATTAGAGTCTTTTGCCGAGCTTTCTCTACTTAGACAATTGATCTTGAGATATCCAGGTTGTCCATACTTCCAACATATTAGATTCTTCCCGGATCTCTTCTTCTTCCTTTGCCTGATCACCAAAACCATACCTTTTGATGAAGTCATATTTCTACCTTCCAATATTTTCTCCTTGGATAGGAGTTTGCTAGTGACATCCACAAACTGCAAGGTCTTTTTCACGTACATTAGAATAGGCTTCATGTGCTCATAGGAAGATGAATAATATAATATAAGTCTCAATGCTTTATCTTCATCTCCTACCTCGATAGCCTCCAGTTCTGAAACGACATTGTTAAGAATACTTATATGACCTGAAATTTTTGTACCTCTATCCATATGTAGAGTACGAAATTGTTTCTTAATATACAATGGATTTGAGATGCCTTATCCTCGATATAAATTCTCAAGCTTCTCCCAAATCTCCTTGGCGTTGATATCCCATGTACATTTGAAGATCATTCTATGCTAGACAAAGATGAATAATACTTGTCGTCCTCAAATCCAAATCACCCCATTCCTACTCGGTTTTACTGGTACCGCTTGATTCACCGCTGGAAGCTGGTTTTCCTCTCAATGCCTTACGTAACTCGGATTATATCAACACATCCTTGACTTGAACTTTCCATAAGCCAAAGTTGATCCTTCCATCAAATTTTTCTACATCGAACCTCATATCACTTGAAACTTTGACATCGTATCAACGCTTCAAAAAGCAATATTGTATACGAGAAAAGTACTTGGTGCTTATGAGTAGCACACCCAAGAAAAGTTTTCTAATGTACATGTACTCCTGTAACAAACATTTCTATTGTAAACAAAATAACCAACAGAAATTCTTTTTTGATGTGGAATATTAGGGGTATACGCAGGTTAGGTTGCACATTTAAGCGGGTTCGGTTTAATTGGGTTGTTAGGGGGTTGGGTTGGACGGATTGAGCACTTTGACGGGTTTTTTTGTACACCTCTATTCAAGATTATAGAAAGGATCAACCACATAGTATATTAAGAACCCCTTAACCTGAGACCTCTTCTAATACGACCAAGAGATAGTTCTTTTCTGATGTGGAAGATCAGACAAAGCTGCAACCACAGAGCATACTAAGAACCCTCTAACTAAAACTTCCTCCAACTTGGAGCTTTGATACCACTTGTTGGGAATTAGCCTCAACGTTTCCCAACAACCCAAACAATAAACCACTAAAGAAAAGAAGAAGACAAGAATTTACATGGGAACTCTAAAATCGAAGAAAAAACACCGGCCTCCAGAGAGAACATCCACTATGTGAAAAATTGTTATAAAATCACACAATTTAATCTTTAAAGCCTCCCCCAATAATGCATACACTCTCAAAGATTTAACTCGGACCTTTCTACTCTCTAAAACAAGAGAACAAGAAAGAAACAATAAAATACTTAAAATGTAATTTTAGTAGGATGATTCGAAATCTAAGCCTTGGACCMCCCCCCCCCCCTTATACACATGGATTGTTGTTCACATTTCATTGCTCTTCAGATGTGGGACAACCTTTCAAAATTTTATTTTTTTAGTCAAACAATTATCAACACAACCCATAATTAACTCTATTGATAATTGTAGCACAATTACAGCTGTAATTTTACTTTTTTTTTACATGAAGCTACAAATTTGTTTTTGTGTTTGTGACCCTTATTTGTATTTTCTCATTTTGATTTTTAATCGTTAAAATATAATACTTAGATAGATTATAAAATGATTTACTAAAGTTTAAATCTGATCAAACCAACCTGACACACACGGTTTTGATTGTGTTGTACTTTTGTTGAAGTTGAGTTACGTTGAATTAAAATTTTCAGATCATAAATATTAGATTAGATTGTTCAAATGCTTTTATCTTGACCAATGCAACCCAAGTGTAACCCTACTTTATATATATATATATATATATATATATATATTCACAATCTTCATTTTTTGTTCTTTAATCCTATAGCTTTTACTATTATAAATGTTATTGTCGTGGTTGTTACTATTAACAATATTATTGTCTATACTAATATTAATTATACCACAAATAATTTATAAGTACAACTTTTAGCAAGATATATTCAATTATAACTTATAATTTATTTATCATTTAAATATAAATTTCAAATCTTTTTGATAAAAAAAATAGAAATAATAATAATATAATGTATTTAAAGTAGTTGTAATAGTAAATATCTACTTGTGGGTACTAGGATCATACAAAGGATTTGTTTTCTTTTTTTGGTAGCATTTGAGGTTGTTGTCCCAAATTGGCTATTTAGAGTAAAAAAAGTGGTATGGTGACAGGTGATGATTTAAAATCCTTGCCTTTAATGGTATCTAATTTGTGTTGCTCAGAATCTCCTCTTGCAAACAAAACCAACCTCACTCCCTTTTGCTTCAACTCTCTCTTGTTTCTCTCCACTTTAAAGTATTGTTTTTATATTCATTAGCCACTAAGTTTAACATTTTTTATAAGAATAATCTTTGTAATCATATTCTTTTAGACTATAATTGTAATTTAGGGGGTGTTTGAGATTGCTTATTTGAAACAACTTATTCTTTTCTATAAAAGTAATTATCAATTTATTATAAGTTAAAATGGTTTAACTTCTTCAAAAAACTTCTTATTATCGGTTTGATATCGACATAAACTTTCTATCCAAACACTCAAAAATGTTTATTATCGATTTCATACTGAAATAATTCAATAAGTTGTTTTTACAAGGTAATCCCAAACACCTGTTATTAAGTTATCCGTAACCTTTACACTTTTCTTTCAAGATAATTTGTTTCTATAGTTTTTTAAATGATCCACGTTATATGAGCATCAACCGTGTGGCAACTAAAATGGTCCCATCACTTTCCTTCCTCCACTTGGATCCTTTACCCCACCCCCAAAAAAAATGTATACTATATATACAGCCAAACTGCATATCCAACCAACACTCAAATCCTTCACTTTTTCTCATCACTCACTATAGAAATAGACACAAGCAAACTATAAATCAATGAATCCAATGGAAGATACTGCTTCACCTTCTGCTTACCTGGATGGAGAAGTGATGTTGGCTGAAAATAACCCCAAAAAGAAAGCTGGAAGGAAGAAGTTCAAGGAGACCAGACACCCGGTTTATCGAGGTGTCAGTCGGAGGAATTCCGGTAAGTGGGTTTGTGAGGTCAGAGAGCCAAACACCAAGACCAGGGTGTGGCTGGGGACGCATCCCACTGCTGAAATGGCAGCCAGGGCACATGACGTGGCGGTTTTGGCTATGAGGGGGCGTTCTGCTTGTTTGAATTTTGTTGACTCACCGTCGCGGCTTCCGATCCCGGTATCTAATGATATAAAAGATATACAAAAGGCAGCGGCAGAGGCCGCGGAGGCCTTCCGACCGAGAGAGGATGCAGAAGAGAATGAGGAAAGGAAGGAATCGTCAGAAAGTTCATTTTATGTTGATGAAGAGGAGATATACGAAATGCCAGATTTTCTTGCCGACATGGCCGAGGGACTGATGATATCGCCACCTAGGACTGATAACTTTACGGATGACGTAGAATGTGGTGATGACGGGTCTTTATGGAGTTTTCATTGATTTTTATTTTTTATTTAAAATTGATTTATCGTTTATTAATTAATTAATCATATTCTACCTCATGGCTTAAATCTTTTTGTTCATGTAGGAACCAATCTGCACTGCATTTGAATCTTGAAAATGTACACCAAGTTTCTTAATGTGTTGCTGAATTTTGTTCAGAGAAGTGGCATGCAGGTCATCTATCGTGGTTCATTGACTTGGATTCCTTCACCGGTTCTGGATCTTGAATCACCTGATGGATGCTGACGGAGGTTCATCAGCGATCGTATTCTTAACAGAACCCAGATTCATTATCAACAATTAGTAGATATCATATTTTGGGTCGAAGAAAGTGAGACACAAAACACCAAACTGAAACAGTACTGGAAATGGTCACAGGTTTTACAATGAATACCCCAACTTTAATTACCCCACGCTGTCATATCGATTGCTAAAATCACCCACCATGTTTGTTTTGCAGTGAATGTTAATGGGGGCATCGTCTTTACCAATAAAAGCATAACCTCTTTCCAAACAAGGCCTGCATCTACCTCAGATAGTTAACTTAACGATGATTGAGCTAATCAAATCGTTTTGGTTTAAGATCAGTTCGTAAAGCCGGATCATGAACCAAATACATATTTCAATGTGTTATCTTCACTCGTAAAACCAAATTTTGGAAAACATTTGGATACAAGAACCAAATCGAGCATGGTCAATTCCGTCTAATGTGGTAAGAACTGGTTATTTAATTTTATTAATCCAAACAAATTATGTTTAGCCGTTAAATTAAAGTTTTCTTATATCTGATCTCAAATTAATGGTTCTATGATATCTTTAGTCAAATATTTCAACCGACGTTGATCAATTTATATTAGGTAATAAAACTTTTGCGATAATGATATCATCAAAATGATTATGAAAGTGTAAATATACAAATATGAGTTCTCATCACAACAAATATTGTTGTAAATTTATTTTTATACAATATTTTAAAAATATTGTAATACAAGAATTAACGTGCATTGTTAATTTCAAAAGTATATGGGCTAAAATACTTACTAAGACGATAAAATCATTATAACACGTTTATGTAAGTCACATAAATATTTGGTCATGTAAACTAAAATTTTATAAAACTATATATATTATGATACTTATATATTTTTGTTGTTGTACACTTTATTTTAGTGTCTTTTTTTTTGTAAAAATAAAAGATGTATATTTAAAATGGAGAACTTGTGCTTTTTTATTGGTTTTCTAACACGTAAATAAGTCATACAAAAAATACGTTAAATAAATGAATGATAAAAAAAACTCACTCTCTCTTTTACTCTTTAATAAAGCTTTCATCTCATATATAATTAATCGTCATATATTATTTTAGCAATTGATATAGTCATCGAGATTGCGTTTGTGGTTATAATTCCATTAGAGTATCTCCCATAGTTATGCAAATCTATTTTTTTATGTAGAAATTAATCCTCATAAATTCTACTTCATCACATGCATATAATGAGAGTATCATACTACATTCAATCATAACTCAAACAAGGTTTTAACTATTATATAAACTTGTACACATACATGCTTATCATTTCATGTATGTCTTAATTCAACATATAAAAGTACACACCATCATTATTAATTTTTGAATAAGCACACACCATCTTTTAAGAATTACACAAAATTGATAAATAGAAAGAAGAAGAAGTTGATTAGAATACCTCAGTTTTTTTGCAACTGAATATTTGCTCATAAAACTCGATGAGGTAAATGCAGCAACTTTATCTTTCTTGTTTTCTTTCATTTTTCAACTGATATATAGTCTTGATATGTGATTGATGAGAAGGAGGAGTTTTGGTTAAGTAGGGCAACTTGGAATAGTGAGTCATAAAGTGTAGCATCTCCTCTTACCACTCATTTATATTAGAGTTATGTTGTGGCTGAGAATTCTTCTTGTTGGCAACCCCACCCACCTTTTAAAACTATATGATCACTTTTTTCTCTTTGCTTTCAGGAACCTTGTCGACTGTAATTTTATATCATATTTTGATAATTCTGAAAACTATAGATGTTAGGATAGATAGCATTTGATATAATGTTGGTAAGATTCAAAAAATATAAAATTTATATTATCTAATATCTATGCCAGATAGGCGTCAGGCATGACTAGCAAAATGGACTCACTGACTGCGTGTCAAAAAATACAAAACCACTAGGAACCCTGTTAATTTATAGGAATTCCGAGCTGCCTCCTTACCTTCCCTACCATTTTAACCCCACTATACACATGACAAAACAATATCAACATATGCTATATATGGAGTTTTGAGCTTTATATATCCTTTTTTTCTTTATTAGGTAAGTATATTTTTTGTGTCTTCATCCCTCTTTAACCTTTTTGTAGACGAACTCAATTATGCAAGACTAAATCTCTAACATCTTTGTTAATTTAAATACAACATGCATTCTAAATAATATCATATTGATACAAGTTTCTACAATTTGTAGTAATAACCGTTTGGTAGTTAATCGTCGACCCTAATGTGCATATATGATATATGCATGTTTCCCTCCAAGTCCAAAAAAAAAACCAGCTTTACTGTTTATGTGTGCGTTATCAACAATCGTTATATAGCTTGGAAATCAGGGAGGGGTCTTTGGGTTGTTTTAGTTGGAAATTAAGTGTAAGATGATCATAATAGGAACAATAAAAGAACCCAAGGTCGAGCCTCATTTTTAAAATTTTAGGGGACCAAAAAAGTAAATTGTCACTTTTTTGGTATGAAAAGACAGGGATGCATGCATGAGTAGAAGAGAAGAAAGTAGAAAGTGCCAATTGATGGTAGGGCAGAAGCCTAGAAGAAAGGTACCCACGGTCTACTAAATATCTCCACCCAATAATTCAAAGTATATTTATTCTAGACTCGATGCTATGGGCGTCATCCTCAAAATAAGGTTGGGTTCTGGTGGAAAGCGTAAGAAATGATCTGCATCCTTGAATCAATCTTAATTGAATGTTATCAGTAATGAGATACACTGAGTTACAACGAATTAATTTCTCTCTAAAGCGCAATTTATGGATGAACATGAAATTAAATGTGATAGATCTCTTATTACACTTTTAACCATGACTTCTCTTCTCACACGATTCCCCCCTCAATATAT